TACATCACGCCAGAGGTTGCTGGCAAGTCTCCTGGCGAGATCTCCCCGTCTCTCGAGGTGAAGTTCGAGGACATCCCGAACGGGCTGGCTGCCCTCTCCAAGGTGCCAGGACCCGGATGGCTGCAGATCGTGGAGCACCGCCTCTACTGCGAGTCGGGCCCGTTCGGGTACAACTCGGACCCTAACAGGAAGCCTGACGAGCTCGGATGGAGGCCTATCGGTCCCTACAGCACTGACGCCACGGTCAGGCAACGCAGGTTGAATGCCGAGATCGCGAACGGCCGCCTGGCCATGATGGCGAACCTCAGCGCCATCTCCGAAGTCCCCGCGGCAGGCTTGGGGCAAATCGTGGCCTACTGTGTGCTTTGCGAGCTGTTCCAGGACCAGTCTGCTGGTGCCGATGTTTCGGCGGGCGACTTCGACGGGAAGATGCTGACGGCCAGCGTCGCCGCAGCCAGGCGGTCGCAGCTGGCGGCCAGGACTGCCTACTGTCGTCTGGCATTTACTGCGGTCATCGGCATGCTCTTCCAGGATTTGGAGGGCGGCCCTCCTCCTTTTTTTATTCCCCCCGTCACGGGGCCAGGAGCCCAGAATTTCGAGGCGGTTCCAGCACTGGTGACCAGGGGGGTCCTGCCATGACTGAAATGGGGCCCGTTAAGCCAGAGTGGAGCGCGGTTTCGATATTACCGAATCCCAGAAGTGAAATAGGGCCCGTTAGGCCAGATGCAAGTCGTGGCGTCTCGAGCCCCAGCCCCGTCCCCGACGACCGCCCTGAGTGCGGACCACCTCAACGCCCCGCGACGACGACAGACGACCATCCTGAGGATCCTGCCACGCACAGTGACATATCGGAGCATAGCAACAGCAGCAGCGGCAACGTGCTACCCCCCGTTTCGTCGACAGACGATGACGTCCCAGAGGGGAATCGAGAAGTGGTGGAGGCAGAGGTCACGATACCACCCCCCGCATCGCGGTCAGACAATGACGCTCCAGCGGGGAACCGAGACGGGGCAGCCTGCGGTGACCAGTGTACAGCTCACACCAGCGACCCCCCCCTTCAGCTGCACCAGCAGGCCAGAGGAAAGGAGCGGGAAGTCACGGCGGAAACCGCGATGGCCGCGGGGGCCGCGGAGTACCCCCCTCAGGACAATCAGTCCGTCAGCAGTCCTCTGGGGGAGCCACGCGCCCTGCAGGGAGACCAGGTAGCAACCGCCCAGACTCAGGACAGCGAAGCCATCCGCTGGCTCGTCGAGAGAAACCTCTTCGCGCCTATTCGCCCCCCTTCCCCCGTCAGTGAGCTTCTTATGGGCGGCGAACCCCGGGCGCCCTTGCCAGGCGCCCAGGGCGCCACTGGCGAAGCAGCTTGCGCCCCGGCTATGGACGCTGCGGCGCCGTGCGTGCTCGCGCCCGGCACATCCAGCGGCGCCCCAGAGGCCGGAGGGAGTCCTGCGCTGCCCAAAGGGGACGCATCTGGGAGCGAATGCGGACACAGGCCCGGAGGCGAACGCCAGCGAAAATGGCCCCTCCCCACGTGCCACAAGGCCGCGTCTGCCCTGTCCGCCCGACGCGACCCGGCCCCAGCCCGGCTGCCAACCATGCGGCCTGCACTTCCCCGCCAAACCCCGCCAGGCGGGCAGCTGGAGCTGTCGCGAGCAGATCTCGACCCCCCCAGCCAGGCGTCGACGGCCAGAGCCCAAGGACCCCGACGCTGGACATCAACTGTACAAAACAGGAATCAACAACATCCAGTGGGACCTCCCCGTGGAGACACCTGGTGAGACGATGCGCCGACTCCAAGTCACACTGGGGCCGATGTCCACGGGCACCTGGCACGCCTTCGCCAAGCAGCAGCGCGTGCACGGCAGCAAAGGCGCGCTCGACCCGCTTCGGCACGACCCGCAAACCTGCCACCGCTTCCTGGAGTCCTTCCGCAGCCACAAGTGCGACGTTCGGGTCCTTAGCGACGCGCTGGACCTTGACGTCGACTGGACTCGGCCGTGGCAGCTGCATCGGGGTCGGAGCGGCGGAGTGAACAGGGATCACCACGCGGCAAAGGGCCACCCGAACCACCAGGCCCCAAGGGAGCGCAAAACACGATGGTGGGCCGTGGCCCCACAGTAGCCCCGGCTTCTGTCTCGTTCAGTACTTCTACCTCTTCATCTTGGCTGTTGTCTACGTGCTGCGTGTGTGGCTTTACCGCCGGCATCAGTCCTCTTCTCCTCTGTCTGCGTGCTGCGCGTGTGGCTATACCGTGGCCAGTTTGGTTTTCTTCTTTGAGATCCACCTTCTCTGTTGACTACGAATTGTACACCGTGCTCATCAGCGCGATTGGGTTTCTCTTACGTCCTCCCTCTTGGTTCTGACGGGCTGTTGTTGGACGTGCCGTGCTTCTCCATCGGAGGAAACACGCTGTGTGGGTGTGTGACGGCGGTGGTGGATGTGCCTGGAGAAAGGCGTGCGGAACCCAGGGGAGGCTGCGTCACGTTCCCCCCCGCCTGGTGGACAGGCGAGCAGGCCCCCCCCCGCGGTGACTGAAGATCCTCCACGAGGAGTGGTGGAGGGATCAAGCAGGTGAGACCCAGTCCGGTCAGCGCCGTCACTGTGGGCCGCCTCCTCCTCCTCCCTCCCCCCCCCCCCCCCCACCTCCGCCCCCCCCCCCCCCTTCTTTTTTTTTTTTCCTTTTCTTTTTTCTTTTCTTTTTTTTTTTTTTCCCTGCTTCTCATCTTTTTTTTTCTTTATTTTTTCTTTTTTTTCCTGTTTTTTTTTTTTTTGTCCTTTTTCCCTCTATTTCCTTTTTCTTCCTCTCTTTTTTCTGTCTTTTTTTTTTCTTTTCTTCCTATTCTTTATTTTGTTGTTTTCCTCTTCCTCCTCCTTCTTCTTTTTTTTTTTTTTTCTTTTTCCTTTTTACTTTAGTGTTTTTTTTTTGTCTTTTATCTTTCCTTTCTTTTTTTTTCTTCCTCCTCCTCCTCCTCCTCCTCCAATTCACTAGTTTGTGCGGCTCTCGGCTGCGCCTCCCTTCCTCCCCCCTCCCCCCTGGGTCAGCACTGCATGTATTGCCTGAGCCGGCCCCGACTGCGGCGACGCGCCGACGACGGTGCCGACGGCGACGCCTTATCCCCCCCTCCTGCGACGCCAACGTCGACGGCGGAGCCGTCTGCGACGCCTGACCCGGCTTCGACTGGGACGCCAGCGCCGACGACGGTGCCGACGGCGACGCCCTGTCCGTCTCAGACATGCTCAGTCTGCGTGTCGCAGGGGCTCGCCTCGGAGACGACGGCTGCGGTGACTCGTGCGGCCAGCGCACGTCGCCAGGGTACTGCACGGGCAGCGTGGCAGGTGTGGTTCTGCGACTGAGCGACGCCTAATCCGACTCCGACAGCGACGCCAGAGCCGACGTCGGAGCCGTCTGCGACGCCTGACCCGGCTTCGACTGCGACGCTGCGCCGACGGCGGAGCCGACGGCGACGCCCAACCCGACCCCGACATGCACCCCAGGCTGCGTGTCGCAGGGGCTCGTGTGCGGTGACGACGGCTGCGGTGGCTCGTGCGGCCAGCGCTCGGTGCCAGATCCCCGGACGTCTGCGTCCCGAGCTTCTCCTGGCCTCCCGCCCCCCGGTGCTGGGCGACGCGCTGCCCCTTCGCCCCCCTTTGCGTGTCGTCGAGGCCGCCGCTTCGGCTCGCTTAGCAGCATTCTCTTCGCGTGGTTTCTTGGATTGACTGGGCGTGTGAGCACAACCAGGAAGGCAGAGGCCTGTGGAGTGGAGGTCCAGGGCACCAGCGAAGTGACAGCACTGTCCTCCGCTAGTGGACTGGCGTGTTGTTCCCCCCCCGCGGTCAGTGAAGACCCTCCACAGGGAGCGGTGGAGGGATCACAGAGGTGACTCCGACATTGGACTGACGTCCCCCCCCCTGCGGTCACTGAAAACCCTCCACAGGGAACGGTGGAGGGATCACAGAGGTGACTCCGACCGCTCAGCATCGACATTGGTGCCGCCTCGTCCTCCTCCTCCCTCAATTCACCTGTTTGTGCGGCTTTCGGCTGCGTCTCCCCTCCTCCTAATCCTCATACTGTGCTGGTGCGGCGTTCAGCGTCGCCCGGACTACACGGTACCCCCATTCAGATTCACTTGTCAAGGTGCATATTGACAGCAGAGGCTGCCAAGGAACGATCTGGACAGCGATGGTCAGCGATTGTCTGACCCCGCAGGGACGGGATCCTCCAGCCCCCGCGACGGGGCGCGGATCGCCTGCGAGGACATGCTTGGTTCGCGGCGTTCCATGTGCTGGGTTACAGCAAGGTGCAGGCCTGCACGCCTCCCCGCTTCGGCACCACCTGAGGCCGGACCTGGGGTGAGCGTATTCCTGGCAAGTGGTTCATCCTTTGGCAGGTCACCTTGGATCCCCCGGCAGGTCCGCCCCTGTTACCTCGGTTGACGCTCGCGACTTTGTGCCCCCGTCCCCTGAGACGGATAAGTTGCCCGCGTTGTACCCCGACGACGTCGACGACTCGCTTCCCACGGCGGGCGTCGCCTCCGAGTTCTAGCTACTGCACAAGTGGTTTATCCTTTGGCAGCACCACGGCCCTCCCGCAGGGTGGTCCAGGGGACTCGACCAGTGCTTGCAGCTGTATCCCCCCGACTTTCAGCGTCAGGCAAGTTGCAGGCCGTGGGCTCAGAAGACAGGGCCGCCGGTTCCTTGAATAGGACGGTCGCTCGTGCCCAAGTGCATCCTATGAGTCCTTGTGAGTGAGGCCTCCGCCTGTTCCCCCCCTTTTCCTGCCGCCGCGTGCCCTCGCGCCCGCCGTGCCTCTCCTGTTCCTTGGCCTCCTCTTCGTGTTGGACGGTGCGGCCACCCCGGCCCCTCCGTGCCGCCACAGCGCGGCGTAATCCACGCCCTTGCGCGCTGTTCGGTACGGTCAGAGCTGGCGCCATTTGTGCGACTGCTCCTTCCGTCCGTTTTCTAGTTTGGTGCCTGCGTTCCCCGATTTCGGGTCGCCTGCGTCATAATGAGGGTCATTTTGTCCCTGGCGCGTGCACCCGCTGCCGCGGCCTATGGGCCCCAGCAGCTAATTATCTCGCCCTGTGCCCCAGCCGACACCGTCCCGCTCTTTGGATTTGTCCTTTGAGCCGCCAATCAAAAAGTATCGCCACCAACTACCCCTGTATGCCCGGCGTTCGACGCGTTTCGCGCGCCCGCGTGCCAAAAGTACTGTATCCCCACCGATGCCTGGGCATCCAGAAAGCATGCCCAGGCGAGTTGTCCTAACCAGGGAAGTGTAGGAGCGTTCAGTGGGACAACGAGCGGGGTAGCCGTCAAACTGAAACTCGCGATGAGCCTGCGCAGATTCAGGAATCAACAATCAAAGTGCCTTCTCGGATCTTTCGATATGGGATCCTTTTGGCAGCCTACTTGGGCCGTCGTGGGGTCCTCTTGGGGTCATTTGGGAGTCCTTTGGGGCTCTCTTGGGGACCTCTTGGGGCAACGTTTTTCAATGACTTTGGTTCTCAGCGGGGGGCTACCAAATCAGTCTGGCACCTCTGGAGCCCCAGAAGTCTCCTTTCGGGGCCCTCTCGGGTCGCCCTTAAGGCACTGTTGTGCGCTCTTAAAACCATCTCAAAGCCCTTCAAGGCCCCTCTTGCTCTCTTGGAGCCATCTTGGCGCTTCCGAAGCCCATTGGAAGGGACACTGCGAACATGCTAAACTCATGTGCGTTGCTTCGGTTTTGGAAGCATCTTTGGGAGGAATCCTGGCCACTCGCAGACGTTTTGGGTGGAGTATTGAGGCATTTTGGAGACATCGTGGAGAACATCTCGAACCATCGTGAGCTGTCTTGTGCCACCCTGGAAGCCATGTTCAACTTTCTGGGGCCATATCTTGTGGCTCGAAGAAGACACCTCTGACACCTCGCGGGTCCCGCCCGTCCCGTCCAGACCCGAGGGTTGGGGGTGCGGTCGGGCCGAGGTATGAGATCGAGGTTAGCTCGGGGAGAGTACCCTAGCGTTCCTCGTGTTTGTTGGGTGTTCCTGTGCGTCCTGGGGAAGGCGTCCTCGAATGTCCGCGCTAAGAGGACCGGCCACGCGCAGAGGGTCTGAGGAGGAAGCGGTAAGGTCGGGCCGAGGTATGAGATTGAGGTCGGTTCGGGGAGGGTACCCTAATGCTTTTCGTGTTTGTTGGATGTTCTTGTGCATCCGGGGGAGGATGCCCTCGGATGTTCTGCAGTTTGGTCGGTAGAGGGTCTCATGCTCTTGAAGGATGTTCTTCTGTCCCAGGTCCGACTGCAGGGAAGAGGGGGGGTTTGGAAGAGGAAGTGCCCTTGATCACCTCAGCCCCAGGGGGATGGTGGGATTTCCTGCTAAGTTGTATTTAGCGGATTTTGCAGACTACAGCGTCATTTGTCCATATGGATATTGGAACGCAGACGGCAACACTTTTTTTACAATGTTTTTGGTGCCCCTCTCAGAGGTGGTGGCTCTGCTGAGTGTGCTCTGTGCTACTGGATTTCATTGCTCGGCAGCCACTGGTGCTGGTGCTGCATGCCCAGATGACCCAGACGTGGATCTCTGCGATGATTCCCCTGTTGCTGGCGGATGCCCAGATGACCCAGAATCGGATCTCTGCGATGATTCCCCTGTTGCTGGCGGATGCCCAGATGACCCAGAATCAGACCTGTGCGATGATTTCGAACCTGAGTCCCCTGTCGCTGGCGGATGCCCAGATGACCCAGAATCGGATCTCTGCGATGATTCCCCTGTTGCTGGCGGATGCCCAGATGACCCAGAATCAGACCTGTGCGATGATTTCGAACCTGAGTCCCCTGTCGCTGGCGGATGCCCAGATGACCCAGAATCGGATCTCTGCGATGATTCCCCTGTTGCTGGCGGATGCCCAGATGACCCAGAATCAGACCTGTGCGATGATTTCGAACCTGAGTCCCCTGTCGCTGGCGGATGCCCAGATGACCCAGAATCGGATCTCTGCGATGATTCCCCTGTTGCTGGCGGATGCCCAGATGACCCAGAATCAGACCTGTGCGATGATTTCGAACCTGAGTCCCCTGTCGCTGGCGGATGCCCGGACGACCCTGATTCAGACCTGTGCGATGGATTGGGAGTGACTGAAGAGGACGGTCCGAAGTTGTATATCATCATTGTTCCTTTGTCTGCGCTGGTTGCGGTCTCGACCCTCGTCTGCCTGATCGTGATAGGGCGCAAGCGTCGCACGCACGTTGAGGACAGGATTACGCAATCTTTGACCTAACCAAACATGGACCCCCTCCTTTCCCCCTATCTTGATCAGGGAGGCCTCGGATGAGGATAAATCGCTCCAGAGCGTTCTGAAACGCTCAGCTATCAGAGAGTCTCGATGTGTCCTTGTCTGGGTTAGTCTTTATCCTGCCTTCGTCTTGCTTGGCCTGTCTTTTCTATTTTTGCTTGGTCGTTCCTGAAGGAGCCCGGCGATTGCGGCCACCTGAAGGACGCCGCTGGCATCTTCCCAGCGAAGGCGGGCTCGCAAGAGAACCGCCGGGGGTGCAAACATGATGAGACATGTGCAGTCGGCATGTTGAGATGACGAGCACCTTTGGTTCGGGAGGGGGTTTCATTTTTGATCCGTTCCTTGGGCCGACGTCGGTGAACATGCTGATATTTCCCAACCATTCTGTGGTGTTGGGTCCTCGTTTTGAAGAGACGGTCCCCGCGTTCCCTCCTTCCTTCTCGCCCCCCCCCCTCCTCTTCCTCCTCCCCCTCATCTTCCTCCTCCTCCTTTCTCATTGCAATTCCTGTCGCCACGGCTGACGTTGGATGGCCCTGCCGCGGACCTTCCTACACCCAGACCCGCTGCACCGCATCGGTCCTGGTAGGGATTATGACGACGGGGAGAACTCCCTAAACTTCGTGGGCCCATGGAAGCTCCACCGATGGCCTCGGTGGCGGCTTTCGCATGCGTCGCCCGCGCCCAGTACAGCGTTTCGTGGCCCCTATAAGAAACTTCTCCTGGAGCCCCACTGGCGGTGTTCTCGTGCGCCCCCCCCCTGTTAGTGCAGCGTTTCGTGGCCCCATAGGGGCCTCCACCGAGGGCCCCAGTGGCGGCCCCGCCCCATTGCAGCGCACCCTTCGCGCGTTTCGCGGCACCATAGTGGGCTCCACCTGAAGCTCCAGGCGGCGCCCACATGGCGGCCCAGCCCCATGTCGGCACACCCGTCGCATGCTTCATGGCCCCACATGGAGATCCCCCCAATGCGATATCCGCAACGGCGGCATTGACAACAGTTAATACGCTCCTCTCCGCACCCTCGTGTGACCGCCGTTGCTGCTACTCCTTATGCGCAGATTGACCATCTGCAGCCATACTGATTCGAGAGATCAAGGATAAAAGGAGCTTGCTGCCGCGCGAGAACGTCGAGGGACGTCCCCCTCATCGTCGTCGTGTCGTCGGCCGGCCGGCCTCCTCCCTACCGCGCATCTCTCTTATCCGTTTAATGGAATCTACCTTCCAAGCCATGGCCTTGTCGAAGCCCCCTGCGCATTCCTACCGAAACCTATCTTCGGGGAATCATGTGACCATACTGGAACATATTGCAGGGATAGCTAATAGCCAGGCACAAAATTGGTTATCAGCCGAAAGGACGGCTCAGCCGTTGGCTTCGCTAGGCCACGGACAGGCGGAAGGATCGCTCGGAGGACTGCTTCAACGTGGTTGTCCCGAGCGAGTTCAACCTTCCCAAAAAATCAATGTTGGAATCAGTATTTGATTTGACTGAGGGAGATTCCCCTGTGGGGAAACAGCTGGAAAAACAAAAAAAAACTCAGACGACAGGTGGGGGGCCCGGCTATGCCAGAACTGCCCACAGGAGGTCATCATAAATAAATCGTCTCAGTGCACTCGAGTCCGAGAACCTCAGTCCATTCAGGCTATGCTGAGGAAGGTACGCCTGAGAATGGTCTCGCCGGCTCAGTCTCGGAGGCGACGAGAAGGGCGGACATCCCAGGGAAAAGCGTTACACTTTGCGGGGTTTGGCAATTGCACAGTCTGAAGGCTGCCGCCTCTGCCGCCGACCCCAATTGAGCGACGAATGTTTGATACCGTTGTTGTCCGGGTGCTTTTCCGAGCACGGCGGGAAGGGTTCAGATGAGTCTCATGAGTCTCTGGTGCATCGCGGACTCCTTCTGGTGGCAGTTTTGGAGCCTCGTGGGGTCGCTGTGGCGTCTCTTGGGGGTTTCTTGCAGCCTTTTGGGGCCTCCGGTGTGCCTCTTGGGGCCTCCTGGGGGCCTCTTGGGGCGGAACGCTACGATTTGTGGTTTGTGTTCCTTCTCTTGGGCCACTTTTGGGGCCGTCATGGGGTTCTCTGGGCGGCCTTTGGGCAGTGTTGGGGTGGCTTTCGGGACCTCGGGAACGCCATACTCTTCGAAACAACGAAGGCAAATCAATGTGTTGTGCCTTTGCAGGTCCTGTTGGGAGGCATATTAATGTGTTGTGCCTCTTCAGGTCCTGTTGGGAGGCGTATTCGAGGCTTCTTGGAACACCTGGGGGGCCTCTTGGGCCATCTGGGCGCCGCATAGGGCGTCTTGGGGCGATCTTTGAGCAGTCGGGGCGTTTGGGGCCGTCTCGGGTGCTTTGTGGGCCCTGTTGCCATCGCTCCGAAACAGTCGCGCGAGAGACCGCGAGAACCCCCCCATGGCGAGATTTCGCGATGTGGGTTTTGGATTCTGAACGATTCTTCAGGAGAACGGACTGAGGTTGAGAGGATGATGGTACGAACCTCAGGGCACGCCCATTCCGTGCCCAGAAGCACGGTGGCGAATCTACACAACCATGATACTTCGATGATCGTGTTTCTGACGGATCGCATCGCATTTCCGGGCTCCCATGGGGAAGCCGTCCGGGAGTATTTCAATTGTTTTTCCCCATATCCTAAGTATGTTTTTTTGTTATTGGCGGACCGCGTCGGAGGAACAGAGAGAGAACAAAACATCACCTCAATCTTGTTATTGGCGGACCGCGCCGGAAGAGAGAACGAGAGAGAACACACCACTCCTCTCACTCAGACCCACTCACTCATCACTCAGACTCACTCATCACTCAGACCCACTCATCACTCAGACTCACTCATCACCCAGACTCACTCATCACTCGGACTCAGTCATGATTCAGACTCATCATTCATCACTCAGACTCACTCATCACTCAGATTCACTCATCACTCAGACTCACTCATCACTCAGACTCACTCGTACTTGTACTCGTAGATTCACTATACTCACTCAGGTCCACTCATCGGATGACTCACACACACTGATGTTGAGGATGTCTCAGGCGATTCTGTGGCTTCAGCACTCCTAAGGGGAACGGCGGGGGGGTGTTTCACTCGGCCCCTTTCGCAGGAATTTGTGGGGATGTCTCGAGCGGTTTGCCTGTTTTCTGTCCCAACATCCTTCGCTTTCGGAGCAGATTTGGAGGATGTCTCGAGCGAGGCGCGTTCCTAAGGCGAGCGGCGGGGGGGTGTTTCACTCGGCCCCCTTTCGCAGGATTTTGTGGGGATGTCTCGAGCGGTTTGCTTGTTTTCTGTGCCAGCATCCTTCGCTTTCGGAACAGATTTGGAGGATGTCTCGAGCGAGGCGCTCATGTTCACCCCCCAGGTGGGCCAGATTTTGAGGATGTCTCGATCGGTTTGCTTGTTTTGGTGGCCAGGCTCGTGGGCGCAGATTCCTCTCAGGATGCCACAGGAGGCTCCAACAGGCTCCAGGAGGCCCCAGGACCCCACATGATGGTTCCCAGGACGCCCCAGAGGCCACGAAAGGACTCAAGAGGCCAAGGATGTCCCAAGAGGCTCCAGGAGGTGTGTTGTGGGGGGGGGGGGGGGGGGGGGGGGGGGGGGTTTTTTTTTTTTGGGGGGGGGACCCCAGGAGCTCAGAATGGCCTCAGGAAACCACAGGAGGCCCCAGGACTCGGCAACAGGAAACGCCAGGAGGCCTCCGAAAGCAACAGGACGGCCCACGCCACAGGAGCGGAGGCCTCAGAAAAAGGCACAGGAGTGGCTCCAATCCCATGTTGTTTACGTATGCTTCATATACGATTGGGACTCACCTGGCGCACGATTCTTTGATGTAAAACGTATGTTTTAATAATATATATATACACATATACATATACATATATATATTGTCCTTCTCTTGTTTACACAGTCCTACATGGTTTATGGATGTTCCTATATGTTGGGCCTCTCCTGGGGCACGACCCCTTTGTGTTTTACTTGTGCTCCTACATGTTGCCCTTCCCCTGTGGCTCTAATCCGTAATGTTTTATGTACGTCTGTTGCTATAGGTTGGGCCTCTCCTGGGGCACGAAACCTCCCTAGGAGGTCCCAGGAGGCCCCAAGAGGCTCCTGGAGACCCAGGAAGCCCCATTAGGTTTCAGGAGGCTCCAGGAGGCTCCAGGCTCATGCGCAGAGACGCGCTCGTACTACTGAGGCTCATTCACACTCCAATTCATTCGCAGTAAGAATTTATGTCCAGACGTTCACAACTGAAGCCCGTTATATTCGAAAGCTCTGCGCCTAGACATTCACGGCGGACAGGTCATGCGTAATAGATGCACATATGCATGAGGGAGCTCCACGCAAGTGAATTCGCCGGCCCAACGGGCCAGAGGCGTGCTAAGATCTCCGGTAACTGGTTAACAATTTTCTAGTTCGCGCGCGCGGGGCGGCCCCTGGGGGTCCCCGGACGAAAAATACCCCACGAAAAGTACCCCGCGCAGGTCCCGGGCAGTCCCAGGCAATGATGGTCCCGGCAAAGGCACGGCAGAACTCCCGGCAAGACCGGCAAGGTCCGGCAGACTCCCGGCAGGTCCCCGCAAGGTCCCTTTTCGGAGCCCAGGAAGGCTCCAAACGGTCCAAGAGAGGCCCGAGAAGCCCTCCAGACGGTCCAAGAGAGCCGGGAGACGCCGAAATATCACTCCCAAACGCCTACGATGGCCTCAAGACGGCCCAACAGGCTTTCAAGACGCCCCAAGAGGTCCCTAAGCGGCGTCCCAAGAGGGCTCCCACAAGGAAAAGTCGTTTCATTCGCTTAGGAAAACGTGCATTTTTAACATATCCGCCTCTTCGTCTTTCACACCTTTCAAGGCGGTCCAAGAGGCCCCCAAGATCACCCCAAGACGGCCCGAGAGACCCTCAAGACCGCTCAAAGACGGCCCAAGAGCGCTCCAAGAAGGCCCAAGAAACCCTCAAGAACTCTTTTTCGGAGCCCAGGAGGGCTCCAAATCGGTCCAAGAGGGGCCCGAGAAGCCCTCCAGACGGTCCAAGAGAGCCGGGAGACGCCGAAATATCACTCCCAAACGCCTACGATGGCCTCAAGACGGCCCAACAGGCCTTCAAGACGCCCCAAGAGGTCCCTAAGAGGTCCTGAAGCGGCGTCCCAACAGGGCTCCCACTAGCAAAAATCGTCCCATTCCCTTAGGGAAACGTGCATTTTTAACATATCCGCCTCTTCATCTTTCACACC